AACAGTTGGTAATCAACATATATATTAAATCCACATATATATAAATAACATTTTTTCATTGAAATATTTTTTCTCAGCACAGTTAAAAGAGACACTTAATTATATCCATGTTTCCTAAAGCAAAGGCATATAGACACTGTGGGTGGTTCTTGAAATCCTTCCCTCCCTCTTCTTGTGGTGGTCCCTAAGTATCTGACAGCAGGAACAGCTCACATATATGGCTACAAATGCTGAGTATGAAAATCATATATTCTCTGTGTTCCCACGGCACAAAGCTCAGTTACCGATGTCACCATAGACAAGCAATCACCACAATTACCATGCAGCTTTCAGTTGAATGAAAAGTCGTTGAAAAAAAAGAGAAAACCATAGAGAAAAAAGGAAAAAAAAATTCAACAGATAAAGAAAAAGAGAAGGATAGAGAAGCTCAAATTGATTGTATTGCACTGAAAAAAGATGCAGGTAATTCACTAAAGAGGGGAGCTAAAGAAAAAGAATTGGAAAAATATCTACATTACTTTTTGAAAACAAGAGTGAAAAAGGTTGAAAACAACTTGCTTCACCAATATCTATTATGTCTTTAAGGATATCTTTGAGATATTACTTTTTCTTCCCTTTGTTCAGAAATATTAAGTAGATCTAAACTTTGATAACACTGAATAAAGTCTAAAAATCCAGATATGGAAAAGAGTTTGCCATCATTTTCTAATACACCTTTGATAACGTATTCTATTTTGTTACAATATTATTTTAATGTGTTGATCAGAATAAATATAATTTGTAGATTAAAAGAGAACATATAAATTTACAGGCATTAAATCAGAAAATACCAAAAAAGGTCCAAAGATGACAATTTTTAATATCATGAAATTCAAACAGTCTTGATCACAACCCATTTTTCCTTCAGAAACTGTTTCATCAAGATTTTCCTGTGGAAAGAGACTGTATTATCATCATTTTATAGATTACATACTGAAGTCAAAGAGGCATTATGGCCAGAAGTATCCATTTTTTAAAGGCTGGGAGAGAAGAGTAATGACAGGCCTAGAACTTGACTTCAGAGAGTGCCTAGTTGCACACTCAAAGCCCCAGAGCTCTTGCTGATTCCAAGTACACGCAAGCTGTTCAGCAGAACATTCAGCGTTGATCACTGGATTTTTCTGGTGCTCCTCTCTATAAAAATGAGTGGTTTTGTAACTCTCAGCTTGCCTAGTATCACATATGAATGAACTCCCTATGGGAGAAAGAACTGAATTCAATTCCCAAAGGCAGTATTCAGCTGCCTAAATTATAATACTTCCTGAAGTACATTCATTCTCCATCCATCATTTCAACAATCAGGACAATGATTTTTCACTGTCACTAAAACATGCCCGGCCTGTGCAGGAAGACAAAAGTGTCACAGAAAACAAAGGGAGATGAGAGGTGGAGAGTGATTAGAAGCTGTATAATGATCAGTGTGCATGTGTATAGAAATTAAGATTGTGCAGGCAGTCTACAACTCTGACACCTCCTAAATTTCAAGTATTCAACTTCAAATGGATACAGCTACTTTAGAAGGAAAACATTTATTCATAGTTGCCCAGGTTTCCAAAAAATGCTTCCAAATTAAATTCTCATATGTCCATAAAACGGACGGAAGCACTCCGCTCTACAATCTCCTTTGCATTTTGGATGGATGAAGCATCTATTGACAGAGGAAGCTTGTTAAACTCTCTGAGCCAGCCTCAGAGAGAAAATTAGACGGAATGGGTTTCATGTTCAGCAGCGCAGACATGCTGAGGTTCTATAGTCTCAGGAGCCTAGTCCATTTGCTGGAAAAGGGAGAAGCACATCTTCATTCTGGCTGCTAAGATTTCTATAGGCAAAGCTCCAAAGTGGCACTATGCAGTCCAGTGAGTTAGTGGGTTTTTTTTGTTTGTTTTGTTTTTTTGTGTTGTTTTTTTTTTTTTTTAATAGCTCTAAGCTGTATTAGAACATGAAGACTTAATCTGGTGCACATTACACTTGAATAGCAAATGAGATGAGTGGATTAAGCCAAGCAAGAGAATAACGAAAGCTCACTTACTGGCTAAGTTGAATCATCAGTGAAGAGAGTATGATGAACTGAAGCAGTCAAGCCTAAACCAGTGCTGTCCTTCACATTTCTTAAGTGCACTGACCTTACCTGCGCCTGTTCCTCAGCAGTAAGAATCACTGCTGTCATGCGCATCTATCTTTTTGGGTCATTTTCCCTAAGTCTGATCCTTTCTCTATTATCCTTTCATTTTGTCCTAGTTCTGCTTCTTCTTGATCCATCTCCTAGATCTTTTTTTCTTTCCATGTTGCCATGCTTAATTTTCTATTTTGTATTCCTGTCTGGGGTGCAGTCTACTTGTACAGTAAGCGCTGGGCAAGTTTTCCCTAGTCCTTTATGTGACTATCTGCAGCTCCACCTGACCACCTATTCACCTGCATCTTCTCATTCTGCCAGTGCAAACTGCCCTTCTTTTCAACTTTTGATTATATTTGTTTCTCCGAACAGTTTCCAGGCCATCCAAATCTCTTCGCCAGGACTTGCACTGCCATTCTTTCACAGATGCCTTGCACAATCTCAGTGTATGATCCACATGCAATATGCTGCTTTTTCTCCCTCATCCTTCTGTCATCTCCTATCCCACTTACTCTGTCCAGGTGTTCAGTTATTATGTCAGGTTTTGGCTTTTGCCCCAATCACTTTCATCCTGCCACATTGTTTATAGTCACTCTCCCCATCACATTTAATGACTCCCAGATCTGTCATTTTCTTTCAAATTGCTTGTTCAGTCAGCCTGCCTTCCCCTCCACTGGCTCTATGTATTAGTCTAACCCCTTATCTCCTCAAAAGTTCACATTATTTTCTGCATTTAGCTTTCCTTCTGTTACCTACCAAAAGAGGAGGAAAACATTCAGAACAAGAGGAACAAGTGAACAATGCAACAATACACAGCTGCATTACAGGAGAAATTCTGCTGAATCCTAGATAGTTCACACTCACATGAAAGATCAAATTCACTAAACTTTAAGTTTACGAGTTGCTCATTAGAACCTTCAGGATCAAAACGAGGCCAAATTCAAGCAGATTTATACAGGAACAGACAAGTATATTCCAATACATGGAAATCCTGTCAAATTTCAAATCGCTCCTCCTTAAGTGTTAGGATAATACCTATTTTAGTTTCTTTTCTTTGAAGTAATTACCATTTTTTTTGCCCCCCTTGTGTAAACAGTATAAGGTGGGGGTTTTATTTGAGCCTTTAACAAAAATGAAGCAAGCAATTAGCACAGCACATTTCTATTCTGCTATTAAAAGTTTGGTGCATTTGTCCACATCTGAAAAGAAGGCCTACTAATGGGGAAGCATCAAGTCACTGGTAGTTTGGTAAAATTACATTACATTCACATTTTTAATAAAGGCAGTAACTAGCACATTCCCCATCTGCAGCTTTAGTAAATCCACATAAAAATTATCATACATTATATCCTGGAATAACTTTTGCATAAATGCTTTTTGAGTTTCTTTTCTTTAATTTGTTCTCTTGACTGCCTTCCAAGTCAAAATGCATCATCCTTCTTACTCTTTTTTTAAAATTCACTTCGTATCTTTCCACTAGTGTCTGTAGGATCCTCACACCTAAGTGCTTAAAGATGGTTAAACATGCTTGTGCTAACATTCAAGTATCTATTTGGTTTTTGCTTTATCTTTTGAACAATTAGTTGAAAGCATTACCTAAAATCTATAGTAGCTTTAGGAAAAACAGACACATGGCTAGCAACATTCCATATTTTTATTACCTTTTGTTATTTTCGGAAATTGTTTTTACACGTTAAAAAGTATTAAACAGGAGTAAAAAAAATACTTGGAGATTTCAGTCGATTTCCCAGATCACCATACTTAAAGAACTCCATGACAACTATTTGATTCTGAATTATAGAACTTCTGTCTACAACATCATACAGATTAAATTTTTTCAAATTTAGTGCTTTACTGTCAAAAAGTTGTTGGAGATGTCCCTGTTCCTTGCAGGGGGGTTGGACTGGATGACCTTTGAAGGTCCCTTCCAGCCCTAACCATTCTATGATTCTATGATTCTAAAGTGCTGATGCTACACCAGTAAATTCTGTGTCAAGATCCTCCCTAGAATATCAGACATTTCTCTAAACAAATTGCAATTTATTGAATGAAAAAAAAGTTACCCATTTACAGATACTGGTAAGACAAAAGCAAGAACAAGATGAAAACCATTTCACATTAAATAATTTTGTTCTAGATTTGCTCAGCAAATAACACTGATATACCTTTTAGGTGGGAGAAAGGTAGAAGTTCCAATAGTTGTAATCTTTGAGGCTAAAATAACATCCAGAAATGCTTGTTTTTCTGAATAAGTGCTGATCAACAAATGCTATTGTATGAAACGATATAATCCTACGTGAACTAATTGGTATCTTTTCACATAATACTAGTTAGTAACCATACATAAATTATTACATACTTGTAACAATCTATTTATTTTCCGGTACGTTTTTAAAGGTTGGGCTTCAACACGGAAAAAAGTATTCTGAAAACATCTTTAAATTTTATCAATTTTGGAGTTTTACATACGAAAAGTTTATGCAATATAACATTAAAGGTAACAAAATAAAACGTCTGTTGACATTGCTTTAAGAATTTTTTTTTAAATGCAGAAAATAATATGTGAATGTTTTTATTAACAACAGCATGATAGCAAAAGAGTACACAAATTTTAAAATAAAAATTCCAGAGATTAATTTTTCAGGAGTGCCTAAGGACTCAATCTTATCCTCTCCGAACAACACAGGTGATGTATAATGGGCACACTAAAGGGCCAGGAATGAGTGAAATCTGAAACTCTGATACTGAGACACAGTTCTACCTCCAAAATCCCCATATGAAAAAACCCACCAAACAATAAATCAACAGAAAAAATTACCGTGTTGGACAAAAGTCATTTCTACAGTACCTTCAGGGGTGATAGCACTAGGACACACATCTTTTAGCAGATCTCCCAAAGTATGTAACTGTCCTCCTGAAGCAATTGGTCGAAATAGCTTCTGTATAAAAGGTCTCTCTGTTGTTGCCTGTTTTAATAACAAAATTAGAAAGAAATAACAATTTAAAGACCTTGCAAATATGTAGTATTAATATTTGAGACAGGCAGAAGATAGGACAGAACAAGGGGTTGCAGCAGAAGAAACGTCTGGCATTTCTATTTCTTTCCCCTCTCTCCTTGCATATCATTCATATTATGAAAAGCAAGGGAGTTTTTGTTTGTTAACACCTGAAAGTAAATTGACACTCCAGAAAACTGTGAAGATAATTTATAAACAGTATCACGGATACAAAAGTGGTTTTGGTTTTAATTTAAAAAAAGCGCCTTCTGTTACGGGAATAGGATCTGCTTGAACAAAACATTTTAATACATTCTTAAATTAAGTAAAAGAAACCGCGAGCACACACTTAGGAGCTCAACATATGCCTATACATTTTGCCAAGTCAAAGCAATACCGTAACAAATATTCAATACCTTCTGCAATAGTCTATCTTCCTCCTTTTAAAAACACATTATGCACTTTCAATGGCAAACAAGTACCTGTATAGCTCAAGCCAGGTGAGGTTTTTTTTGCAGTAAATTTTATGTTGAAAAATTCAAGCTATTTCAGCCACAAGAAGCAGAGTACGATTGAAAAAAAAAAGGTGCTGTGCTTTGACAGACAACCCAGAGTCTTCTGCCTACTTAAGGAATTAGTCAGATGTAAATAACATATATGCCCCACTTCTCCTGCAGATATGCACAGGAATTCAGAATGATTTCAACTATGGGTCCTGTTAGATCTTGCATATCATCATAGTTTTTCAGAGACAAAAAAACCCAAACAAATCCACTGGCAGTAACTACTGCCAGTCACTGCCCACAGCATAGGCAGTAACACTCCCAATGCTGCAGAAGCAAAGTAGCTTACGGGATCTACAAATGCACTTATTTAAGAACTGTGGTTACGTTAAGGTTATCTCCTTTGATTATATGTATAAGTAACCCCAGGGTCAGGAAGCATCTGATACTGAAAGGACAGGAAAAGGCTGTTTTCCTGACAATCTGACCTCTCCTCCCAAACCGAGCATCTCAGCCAGAAAACAGAATTTAAAAATCTGATATTCAAACAACTCAAAAATTTTAATCAAACCCTAAATTGTTGCTGACAAATTTCTGCTAGGAGATAACTCCAGAAAGCAGTTGATGGAGCCTGCATTACAGGTGACTGGGCTCCAGTAAATAACACTTATCACATACTATGTTAATGAGAAAAAGCAATACAAGCCACTGCCCCTTCCAAATTTAGTTTCCTACCACTCAGAAAGTGGTTCCTGTCCTACTACAGTAATTAAAAAATAGAAATAAAACAACATAACTCAACATCAGTAAGTTATTTTATCTCCTAGTGGAGGTTTTTGGAAAAAACTCCACCTTAAGTATAGTAAAAAATTTGAAAGTTAAAAATTAATTTGAAAGGAAGTTATGATGTAGACTGTCACCTACATGAAAAGCCACAAGCAGTAGATTAACCATGACAACTTAATTGTCATTCACATCTCTGAAACAGCAGGGCAAGGAGTCTTTTCGTAAGCGTAGTACACTACCTCAAAGTAATTCCAGGGCAGTACAGTGCAGAACTGTTGACACACAGCTACTTGTTATTTCTTGCCAACAGTCTACAAAAATGCAAAAATAGTCTTTTTCCAGTTTTTCTTATGAAGACTGGTCAGAAAGAGCTGACTAGCTGCTGTAGTTAATTCTATGTCCTCAGGGTAGCAGAATGTGGATACAAACAGTGCTAATGAAACGTCTGAACATTTGAAAAACGATGGGAGGCACACAGCCAGCAGGATCCACCTCAGATCCACACTTGAGAAGTGAACTCTGGCACATTACATTGAAGTGGTGCCTCTCCAAAACATAATAATAATAAAAAAGACAAAACCCCTGAAACATTAGGATTTAGTTATAGCCAAAACAATTTTCTAATAAGTTTATTAAAAAAAAAATCAATTATTCACAGAAGTCTAATCACAGCTCCCAAGTGCCTACCATCTGAAGCAGTAGAAGTGGAAATAAAAAACAGAAGGAGGATGCGGGCAAAGGGGGTTATCATCAATAGACTTTAAAGATAAGAATTTCTCAAGTGCATACTGCAGTTTCTCATTATTTATTAATAAATCACAATATTTTTTTCCTAGTTATAATAATTTAATGCCAAGAGAGAAAAGCCAACGATGTATTTTCTAAAGTCTCCTACATAGTTGCTGTCTGCTGCAAAGCAATATCCTCAGCTGTTATCATGAAACACCATAGAAAATGAATTCAATTTTGTATTTTAAATGTTGAGCCATACAGATGTGGTAATGTAAATAAAAATCACTGGTCTCCATCAATGTTAAAACGATAAAAGTAACTACATGTTGTTTACATGAAGATTGTGGTTCACAAATATAATCCTACAGGCAGAGTATTACCCCAACATGCTTACACATCTTTCCTCCCATGCAGCAGATGCCTTATGCATTAAGAGTCCAAAGAAAACTCCCATCCTACAATCTAGAATGCTTATAGGATAACTTTTCAAAGCATCTTAGTCATATAGGAGTACAAATCATTTAAGACAAGTCTTACGATCACCCCTTTTGAAGTGTGGTAGCTAGTAATATAAGCCCAACTTGACTACAGCTTTCTACTCTAGTATTTGCTACAGCAACATATGAAGGAATAGCCAACATGAGTAATGGCTTACATAATGTTGTGTTTTGTACAATATTTGCTTAATCAGTCATGCAAAACAGTACTCTCTAATCTAACCCACAAAGATATCACTGCATAACTGTTAACTGACAATGATTTTTAATAATCTTCATCAGGCCTAAAGCATGTATTTGTACAGTATCCATCATTTTTTCCTACTAAGATTATCATAGCTGCAACAGAATAAAAAATAAATAATAAACAGCACTTTAATTATTTAAGTCCAGCCCAAACTTAGCTGTGAGCTGTTCAAAAGATGATGGATGCATTCGCAGGATACACAGGTGAGAGTCAATCAGTAATTGCTAATGACAGGTCTACAGAGGAAATGTCGTTAACTATACGAGCACATGAAGATAACCAATCACCTGGCCCCCAAATATGCGGTGGATTTTACACTGATCATGTCCACTATTTAGTATCGAATCATCACATTTTTATGAAAGCAAATATTCAACTCTAAGTTAATGTATTTTCTAGAAAGTTGGACTTATTTATTACAACTGAAATGTCTCATTCTTCTACTACATAGCACCACAAACCTTGTGCTTTGCAGAACAAATGAAGACTTTACTCTTTTTAAAGAAAGTTTAAACAATAACAGTGATAGGAAAGTGAAAGCGAGAACAAAATTACATTACAGTAAGAAAATAAATAGATTAAAATTACCTATTCTGTACACTGGCATTGAGAAGAGGGAAAGTTTTAAGAGGCCCTTTAAGGCAGCCTAAAGCCTCACAGGATCAGAGACAAGCTCTATAGTTGCATATTATGCTAGCAATTATATGTCTTTTCCTTCCCTATCATCCTGCCCAAAAAAAGAGTAGTCAGCTTGCCTGGTCCTTTTCAGAGCCAACAGAACATCAAACACTGCATGAAATCCACAATTTAATTAGTCAGATGTTTTATACAGTATATATCCTAAAATGAAAAACATAACTCAGGAACCGGTGGGTTTTCATCTGGAAAAATCACAGTCACCAGTATTTCCATTTAGAAGGGATTTGGATTTTCTGCCTAAACACTCTGCTGCTACTCTAGCAGTATTCAAACAAATAAAAGTTACCATACATATTATATCCACGAAGTAAAAAAGGAATTCCTTACAACTTCCACATGTGCATAAGCTAGCAGCCTAAAACTGTAAAGCTTGAGACTTCCATCCATACTCCATCATATTTTCAGTAACTTGTCAAGTTCATAGCCTGTACTGTTTTGTAATGAACCACTTTACACCAAAAATACTCTCTTAATTTAAATTTATCATTTTGTTTAAACTGATTTAAACTCATCCAAGAAGCTTTAAAAGTAATTTGCACATTTTCACAATGATTTAAGTTATTTTATATAAAAAGTACAGGAAAATTAACCACTCCCTGAAAATAAAACTAATTATATAAATTGTATGAAATATTTACTCAAAAGTACATTTTCCATTCATTTAAGAAGTCTTCTGCTTTGTAGAATTGTTTTCAATTAAAAAATCTCGATGCACAATGAAAAAGCGACTAACTGAAAAGATGACAAATTGCTGTACTAATAGAACCATCACAATACCATGTCTATCTGAAAGCAAGATACCGCAGAAATACTGAAATACTCCCCTTTCACTGGTGCTGAAACACAGTCTTTCTGCTAGTATTTCTGGATGTGTATCTTTGGCTTCTTTTTGCTTAATATTAGACCAGAATCACCTTGTGGAAAAGGCACAAGTAATGCTTCTGTTCTGTTGTTGTGGGGTTTGTTTTTTAAAAAGGCGCCACTCACTGAAACTAGACAGGCAGGTTATCAGACTGAAAGATTAAATGGAAGTTGCAGATAAGACTGAAAATCACTAACAAACTCAGGTAAGAAAGAATTCATATCAGAATAGGAAAACTATTTCTGGGTGTGTAGAAAAATGAAGTACTGAGGACCACGGCCAAGGTGGCCCACCTGAACTTGTCCTACCTCTTGTCCCAGGTTTTACAACTTGCATAACGTTATCTACAGTTGCTTCAACTGCTGCATATTTTAACTTTCATTCACAAACTGGTCACATATTCAGAAGAGTTACTTGGGTCTTAAGCTTATTTCATATATCCTGATACCTGCAGAATAAGGCCAATAGAAACATTTGACTGGCTTCTGGAAAAAATCACCACTGAATTAAAAATACCACATCAGAGAGAGCTTTTACATATGTAAACAGCTAGCATCAGATAGCCGAAACAAGCCAGCAAGGCAGTCTATGCAAGAAACAGCATCAGTGATGTAGGTGGGACATTCAGTCCAACTCATGGGCAC